GCAGTGCATGATTAAGTAAATTTCCAAACAGCCACAACTACGGGATAAATGAAGGAATCACAACTTTGGAATGAATTCTCCATCAAAAGAGAGCTGAAAAATTGGTGGGCAAAAAGGTGCATGCAGATGTTATACTCATTTTTTCCTGTATTTTTTATAATTTAACCTGCATTCTAGACCAGGTTCATATACTCGAAATAAAAATATAAAAAGTATATTCATGAACAAAACTTATTCAATTATAGTTTGCATAGGCCTAGTAAATTGGGCGACTTCTTTCAAAACAATAAGCGTAAACCTCCAGTAGGCCAACGTATATCGAAAGTCGACATGGACTGATAGAATTTTCGTCAATCGTAATGATGTTTTCTATTAACTAATGATATACCGTTTGATAGAAAATACATCACATCATATTGGTGCCAAATTATAAAAATAATAATCTTTAAACTATAAATCAAATCCCATCTTAATCATTATTTTGTAACAAGTTTATACAAAGAAATGCACGTCAAACACGAATCAAGAAATTAACCTTGATGCTCCATATCTTACTATAATTTTATGATCTTTCAAGGCGATGGTTAAGGACATGTCCGACAAAGTTTCTATTTCTTGTAACAAACAATTTTGAAGAAGTTATCTTAGGGCATGTTTGACAAAATTTTTGTATTTGCTTCTACTTCTCATAGAAAAGATTTTTGAAGCAAGCTCATCTACCATCTCTTTGAGACAAACAAAACATTTTCAGAAGATTACACAAACATGTTTAAAAGTAGTTATTGACTTTTCAAAAAACATATTAAACCAGCTTTTAGGATAGTTCCTCTAAAAGCTCTTATAATTAGACAAAATATTTCTAAAAAATTATTAAAACATGTTGAAAGCAGTTTCTTAGTTTCAAAACCAACTTTTGGCTTATAAAAAGGCCTGCAAACAGGCACTAAATGTATGTTATTTGGTTAGTAGACATGCCTTACACTTCAAGAATTAATTTCAAAATTAATCAATAAACCACCAATTTCAGATATGTTTATCACGCAATTGGATACAAGACGAGCAGATGCAGCCATTTGATGATGGGTGCAGGAGAAATAATCTTAATTAGCTGACTTTATAGATTAATTAATCACTTATTCAGTAACTATTGCACGACGTATTTGTTAAAATTTTACTTAATCATGCACAGCGAAAAATAAAATAATTTCAATTCTCACCAAAGATCTTCTTTGTGTTTAGATAGAAATTGTGATAGGAATTATACATTTTGTAGATTCTACAAAATCCTTTGCTGATTTTGGAATACAAACAATCAAAATATGCAACACACAATTGTCCAATTGTTCGGTCTCCAATAAAAATTAATATAGGGAAGTTCTTACTCTCTTAATACCAGAGATTTTTCTTGTGCTAACAAGATAATAAATTGTGCTCTTTTCTAATTTTTATGAAACACTAATTGCTTATTAATATAAGTTTAAGTGGATTGGTCCGTCTTTTAAACTTAACACAATCCAATATTTAATTAATCTAATTAATTAAAGGGAAAATTCACGTATAATAGATTAAGTATGACACATTTCAAAACTAAGAAACAAAGTTTAAAATTTTAAAAATCAGATTTTTTTAAATTTTATTTATAAACTAATTAATTAAACATATATTTTACTAATTACCACCCTGTTTGAGTCACATTATTCTCCCAATAATGCATTTGAAATAGTGATTTGATGGAAAATATGTTGTTAAAAAAATAAGGAAATTTTTTTGAATTTGCGTATAATATTATTTTATTGAAAAATGTGTAGTTGAAAATAATAGAGAGAAAAATGTATTTTAGAAGAATGAGTATCAAACAAGTTGTAAATATATTAAAGTCACAATTATATATAATTTGGTCAAAAATTATTTTTCAGTCACAATAAAATTTTTTATAGATCACAGATTATTTGACGATCACAAATCAAAAATTTTATAGATCACAATTTATTTATTTATCACAAATTTATCAAATAATTAAGTCACACATTATTCGTTGGTTACAAATCACAAATTTCACAACTTACAACATATTTTACGATCACAAAATATCTAATTAATTAGTCATAAATTAATTTTTTATTACAACTTATCAAATTATTGGTCATAATTATTTATAGATCATAAATCAAAAATTTTATAGCTCACAAATTATTTATGGATCACAAAATCAAAACTTTTATTGATCACAATTTATCAATCACACGTTTTTTTTAGTCACAAGATATCCAAATTATTGGTCACAATCTCAAATGATTGATTACAAACCCTCCAATGTAGTACCAGTACTTTCAACATACTACCATTTTCAATTTCACCACCACAACCATCAATAAACCACAATTTTCAACTACAAAACTACCACTGCCATCGACACGTCCATACTAGATTCACGACCACCACCTCCACCAACAAAAGCTACCCCACTACCAGATCCAACAAATCCTTTACAGATCCACCATCGATCTAACACCAACGCACCAACAAAAATTATTGCTAAATCACGACGAATAACACAAACACACCATCATTGCATTCCACCTCGGCCACCACAAATCGCATGAGAAGCACCACAACTCGGGATCGAGTATAGATTGCCGAGAGGCCAAGGCTCCGATGCCATGCCTCAACGTTGCTCCTAGAGGCGCCACCATCGAGGCTAGACTATTCAGATACTCCAAAGAATTGGAGGTTGCTGAAGGCAAGATTCTCTCTCTCTCGGCAATGGAAATTGGAACTTGAAGATTGAATTCTAGGGGTAAGGATTTTGGGTTGGATAGGTTGGGGATAGGTTTAATAGATAATGAGTTAATAAAATTAATATTAAAAGATGAATAAATGTCTGATTTTTGGAAAAAAAAATCTTTAAATTTGATTTTTGAATTGTGCATCTTAAAATCCTGGGTAAGTGTAATTTCCACTTAATTAAATTTGGTCCATGAATTAATTAATCCTGACATATTAACAAACAACACAATTAATTAATTGTCCAACACTTATTAATTAATTAATTGGTAAATCTCATTTTTTTTGTTCTATTTTTGTGTTTGATCCATTAGGTTCTCGATCACAATATCTAACGACGTGAACAAATCTCAAATATACTAAAATACCAAATTCCAATTTCAAATCAACTTGAACACTAGTACACTACTACTAAAAAAAAAAAGAGAAAAAAAAAAAAAGGAAGAAGAACTGCACATACTACAGAATTCCATAAACCCAAATTAAAAACCATCACCAACAAATTACTAAAGGCGTCTAGTGCAAGATCAATGATCAACAGTCCAACAATTTATTAAATTAATCTGAAGCCCAAATTGCTCAGCCTCATGGCTGCAATTTAAAGCTTTTGTTTGTCATCATTAAAATTTTAATTCATTTTTCTCTCTTCTTATTAATCGCACATTTTACAATAAAATAATATTACACGTAAATCCAAAATTTTTCTTCTTTTTAACCACACAGTCTAAAAAAAAAAAAACTATTCCAAAANCACATTTTACAATAAAATAATATTACACGTAAATCCAAAATTTTTCTTCTTTTTAACCACACAGTCAAAAAAAAAAAAAACTATTCCAAAAATTATAATCTCAAATAATGTGGACAAACACGGTATTAAAGTCTAGTATTCCTCTCAATTTTCCTGAATCTGCATACAAAATGATGAGCTAAATCCATTAAGACCTTACTACAACATGTAAGTGACAAACTATCCACCACAACCAAATCAAAACCAAGTAACATTAACCAATAAAATAATATGACAATATTGGATAATAAAAGCTCCAGCCAGTAGGAAAATAAATTAACAATTGAATCGATTATGCTTTTTATTGGAAAATGCAAGTAAATTTGAAAAAGGCAAATAATGTTCAGTTGCATAACCTCATAATTGATGGTGCATTAAAAAATTGATCCATGTCTTACAGTAGTGAGAGATTAAAAATGTTTTTGTTTGCCTGTCAAAAACTTCAGAGGCATGTTTGGAATGTCGGAACATATAGACTAGCCAAAACAAGTGTAGGGCACTCAACTCTCGTATGTCATGTAACTCATGTCTAATTCAACTTATATAATAATTGATCGGATTTAATATCGAATAAAGATGAAAACATAGACCAATTTATAAGGGTTTTGATTACTCATTTTAATAAGTTTGACATTTTAAGATGAAACATCAAATCTTAACATGGTATCAAAGCCGGCTAAAATCCAAGCGAGCGATTCGATCCAATTAAAACTAAAAAAAATTGAGCACAAAAATTTTAATATTGGCCTGCTCAAACAAGCCACCATCTTAAAGGGGCATGTTAAGGGATAAAATTTCACATCGAATAAAAATGAAAATATAGACCAATTTATAAGAATCAATTTGGGCTACTCTTCTTAAAAAGGTTGACATTTTAAGATGAAACCTCAAATCTTAACATATATAACATACAAACAACAAAAATTGGAACCATAAGGGATGCATGCTCTAG